CGCGCTCAGCTCGGAGTATATAGGCAAGGGCTTCCACGCACTCGCGATCAGCTTCGTCCGACAACAAGCAGGCCCGATAATACTCGTGGAGACTCGTGTGCAATTGCCACATGGATCCTTCGGTAGCAGCACTGGTGGGTCTGTTTGTTTCCGAAATGCGCCCATAAGTCTCGTAGGCGGTAATCACGCATGATCCCGCATGGTTCTCACAGTCAACCTGCCTCTCTCGGCGCGCACTCAGGAGGCCCATGATCTGACATGCTTCATAGACAAACAAAGGAAACAAACAATAGCCCACGATCCAGTTAGTACGCCACTTAATCGTAGGCAAAAGAGATTAGTACATGTTGGTAGCCTACAGAGCAGTGGTCTAACGTTTATGGCGTTCTCGTTAGTAGCCAACTTTCGATGAAACAGCGCTCTGATGACAGACGACTTCGTGCCAATCCATACATTTTCCTTCTTTCAGTTAATAAGATTCGAAAGCTCAACATTCCCGAATTTTAATTTGATTGACACTTATTGAACTTTTGATTTTATAATATTCGTGCCTGATGCATGAATTATAGGAAATAAAAAAAAGAAAATAATGGCAGATTAAGAGGTGAAAACTCTGCTCAGTTGCGCAGGTAATCCACCTTGAAGAAAAATATGTGTTATCGTATTTTGCTGTTTTTGTCGGCTTCTGAAGTGGAGGCGTGGTAATTTCAGTGTGAATTTTGGTGGACAGATTGAGAAAAGATACCACCGTCCCAGCCTGCTATGATAATCGTTTTTTATAGCTTATGTTGTTAAAACAAATAAAGTGGGTTACAAAAATGACAAAATTGGTTAATATCGCTTTTGGCTAGAGATTCTCAATGAAAATGTGAAGCTATCCATCCGCTCACCTTCGGTTTAACAGTTGGTCGTGTTCCCAATGAGATTCTCAACCAACAAACGATATGTAAGCGATTTTATTATTTTTAATTACTTTGCCACTACGAGTCACCGAAGGCGTTCTGACGTCACATGTAGATTTTACTTTACAGTTTATAGGATAATGTACAATACACATGAATAAGATTTCTTTCGGGTATCACAATACTAAAAAAAAGTAGTTGTAGGCTGAAGTCGCACCCATATAGAAAATTTGGATCTAACTAACTTAAAATCAAGAGTAATAAATCGTACTTATTGGGGTTACGTACGGGTCGGCAAGAAGGGTCATATATATTCGCGATGACTCGGGCCAACTTTCGGGTTGACACTGAAACACACACTGAGCTTTACGGCACGACAGCGCGTCCTCCGCATTGGCAATGCCGGTTCACAACTAACTGTCAAGGGAAGCCAGCGATAAAGCGGGATGGGGGCTACCAAAGCATGTGTGAGTACCACCGTGAGTACCAGCGCCAGAAGATCGCAGAGAGGCATGCGGCCAAGACACCGAAGGATTTCGGCCCGACACAGTGCAGATATCCCGCCGGATGCGGCAAGGAGAGAGCGCTCAAGAAGACTGGAGTGCTGCATAATTACTGCGAGTTCCACCGCCAACGGCTGAATGAAATACAGAGACGGCGACAGAATCGAGAGAGAGCTCTAAAGCGGGAGGAAGCTCGTAGGCGGCAGCCTGTAGGAGGCAGTGGGCGCTCTAAGGACACTTTCCGTTCGCGTTGCCGGGACCAAGACGACACTAACTACACGCTATGTGGTCTCGCCGAGATTAATATCGCTGGTGAAGAAGAAACATTACGGAGGACAGAGGCTGACAAACGCTTTAAGGAGACATGTGCTGCGATTTGGGCCGCACACACAAGCTTAAACACCTATTGAAGAAAGGTTTACTCACAACAGAAATATATATAAACCCATTTGAAGAACGTTAACTGTGTTTTTCCTTAGTGCTTCGCTGCGGCCCGCTTGAAACTACTCGCTTTAGGTCAGGTCCTTTCCTTCTTGTGCCAGCGAATTGGTGTCGAAGAGGCGGTTTGTCTGTGTTGATACCCTTGTTGATTGGCACGCCAATTTGGAGACTTCTACCGCGATATCTGCCCGTCAGTTCTTTAAGGTGTAAATTCTCCGTTGACCTCTATTGTCGTGGGCAGTTCTTCTGGTTGAAGAATTGCGCGGTGGGCTTCATAGCTCGAATGACAAGAAGAGCCCGATCGGTTGTGTTGGCCACTTAAGCAGTAACGCGTGCCTCTTCTTCTTCGAAGATCGCCAGGCGTTCGGGAGTTGCGGTTAGTTTTTCAATTGTGAGAGATTGCGTAAGAAGTAGCGACTCTCGTTGTCGAACACGCGATAAAGCAACGTAAGCAAACGCTACATTTGATATTGAATTGCAGTGAAAGATAACTTTCTCGCATGTAAGCCCTTGTACTTTGTGAACAGTCATAGCATAAGCTAACCTTAAGGGAATTCCTCGCTGAACGACACGGAAATCACTATTCTTTTTGCCCCAACTGATTTCCTTTGATGGAACAGGAATAATGTTAGCAACATCGTCAAGAAACGAAGGTCCTAGGTAGGTATCTGTAATTTAAACAAGAACGATAGGTAGCTCACTATCTGAAGTAAACATGAAATCATACACAACTCCGTTGGTACCATTACAGAGTCCTGCAGACTGCTCGGCGTTATACGTAAGTGTAACAGGTGCACCAACGCACAACAACAGTTCAGTTGCAACAACTCGGTCGCTATCTGAATTGGCACATTTGGCCTCCGAAACGAGTGCTTGCACAGTTCCTACGGGTATTTCACGTTAACATTGCAGCCGCTTTTATTGTACAAGATGTTGAGCTTTTATATGAACGGTGGATGCAGTGCTTGCTCGAATATTTTTTTTATTTGCAGCGTCGACGTCGACATTCCTGTGTGCAATGTGCTTTGCTGTTGCAAATTCTGTAGTTAATTTGTCAGAATTAATACAGCGAGAGTTGAATAACTCAATATCACTTGGGGTTGGTTTCCCCCTTCGTAGTCTACGCAATGCATCGAACCATTCTGGATCTTGTCTACCGCGATTTTGACAGGTAAGCATGAAGACAGACTCGATATCTTCCCAAATTTCTCTGCCTTTGCGGTGGATATCGCTAGCTATTCTGTGGGGTGGGGTAGAGAGGGAGTAAGGTACGACGGGATCTAACTGAGCTGCATCGCCTGTGAAAATAACATCTCGACCTCCAAAACGCTGCGCTCTGTGGGAAGGTCAAATTTCTTTCATTCATTGATCAATGCAGTAGAGCATTCCGCAGGATATGACATTAAACTCGTCAATTATCACTAAGTGAACGTCTTTATAACGCTCTTGAAGTTTTTTTCAGTTTTGTAGGGCCACTTTTCTGAATAGTAAGTGAATTGTACGGAACCGAAAATGCTGATCTAGAAAAAGAAGCGAATCCGAGCGCAGAGCAGAGCGTTTGGCCCTTATTGTTGAACCCTGCCGTTCCTTGGTGTGCTAGGCGTAAAGCACACTGGGCCAAGCGATCAGATCCATTACCATAGAATACAGAATGCAGGTCTTTCACGATATGTTCAATCAACCAGCTCTTTCCTGAGCCTCCTTCCACATTAATTTTCATGTGTAGAGGTTGGCATTCTGTGCCCTCCAGTTGAGCCTTTAGACGTGCTCGAGACTGTTGCATAGCCAAAGAAAATGGTATCCATTGTGATTCAGCCATCGTCTCACGTAAACTGGAGCTCCCATCTTCTAAATCAACAGGATATCTGTACGCTTTCCGATCCCACCTAAAAATCTGGATATAAATATCCAGAGAACTCAATATTAACTTACTGTCAGTAAGTAAAAAATTTGCCACTGCTTTACTCTACCTCTTCCGCTATTACAGCACCGGCGGACCGTCGTCACTGGGGGCGAGATGAAGACGTGCTACAATGAACGGGTCGGGCGACGTCGTGGCTCTCCATTACGACAGCCACTTACTAGCACCAAGACCACCATGACATGCAGTCAGCGACTGAAAGAAGGTCAGCTCTCCTTGTCCATTAGTCGAATAATGACCCACTCACGCTATTATTATAGCATCAACCTTTGTTGGTGGATTGCAGAAGCTGGGCGTGAGGAAAGGAAATTCTACATGCCAGCAGTATTGAGACGACGGTAGTCATGCTCGCCTGCGCTCGTCTCGGAGCTGTGCACTTCGTCGTCTTTGGCGGGTTGCAACGCTTGAGCTGGCTACTCGCATTGAAGATGCGAAGCCCAAGCTGATCATCTCAGCGAGCTGCGGTGTGGAGCCCAAGGATATCATCGACTACGGACCGCTGCTCAATGGAGCGATCGAGCGTTCGAGCTGGAACCCCAATAAGGCTGTCATGACGCAATGCGATCTCTGTCCGTTCCCTATGACCAAAGGCCGTGACGCGACAGGAGAGATGTGATGGGCGATCCTGTTGATGCAGTGCCTGTACTGGCAACAGATCCGCTCTATATCTTCTTATATGGGACGTCCGAAGGGTATAGTGCGAGACAATGGCGGCCATGCTGTTGCGCTGAAGTGGGCTATGTGCAACGTTTTCGACATTACGCCGGATGATACGTTCATCGCAGCGTCCGATATGGGCTAGACGGCGGGGCACTCGCTTGTTGTGTATGGACCGCTCATACATGGCTGCACCGTACTATTTTAATACGATGAGATTGGTTGGTCACTTCAAGCGCCGCTTCAAGAGCCTCTGCCACGATGCAGGCGCCTAGCGCACCTGCCCTGCGTCTGCGGCTGATCGATCCCAGTGTGGGTGTCGTGTCTGGCGGTACACGTGTGGTGCTACATGGCGCAGGTTTCCGTCCTCCTCCGCATTCGCTCACAGTCCGACTGCGCGTGGACCTACAGGATGCGGAATACGACAATCACTCCGACACAAGTGATCAGCTCACGTGGACATCTCGCCCGAGCATCTCCAATACGGTGGACATTAATGGGCGTTTCCTGCTCGATACACAGCTAGAATGTGTCATCCCGAGCTTCGAGCGCCAAGCTGCACGTGTCATTGCAGCCCGCATGTGTCTCGCAGCGTCCTCCGCGTCGGTGTCCAGTGCGCCGCAGTTGGTCCCTTTGAATGTCGAAGTAATATTAAACGGAGGTGAGCAGCGGTCCAACACGTTATCCTTCAAGCTGCATCAGCCACTGGAAGTGCGACGCATATGTCCCCAAAGTGTCTTCATGATGTCCCCTGCAGTCACCGCCACAGTGACGTTAAATATTTTGAAATTATCAATTCCTGCCGCTCATAAATTGACACCTAAAGGTGGACAACTAGAAGTCCTCGAGGGCATAAGTACTCTTCCGGTATTTGTTCGAGTCAAACAGACGTCGGAACGTACCGGAGCCGTGTCCGAGCAGACAAGAGAGGGCAAGTGGAAGATCTCGCCATTAGGAGTATACGTGGTGGAGTTTGACGCTCCTACTATGGGCTTTGGAGCTGTCAGTGTGGAGCTTTCGCTCAATAGAGTGGAGTTCTTTAAGTGTAAAAGTGACGCACCGCCCGAAGGCTTTGGTTATCGAGTGCTTCGAGATGTGACTTTACGAGCAATGGAGCCAGCGTGTATTAGTGTGACAAGTGGGCAGGCCACGGAGATTAAACTGGTGGGGGACGGATTTGTGGATACGGGAGATATTGTAGTAGCAATGGTGCAGAAGGAGTTATCGTCTCAAGTTGAAAAGGAGGTGCAGGTGGCACAGCTGAATGCGACGTACTATGGCAAGAACGAAGTGCGATGTACTGTGCCGGCTAATTTGCCGTTTGGATGCACGTCGTTCAGTGTCTCATTGAATGGCGGCAGGCAGTTTGGCCAGTCTCGTGTTGTTGGCTTGCTGCATCGTGATCGAGCGTTGGAAGTGGTTACTCCAGCGAGCAGCAGTCTGGCAGGAGGAACAGCAGTCACGATTCGCCATTCCTGTCTAACTCTCGAAGACGTGGACGCATTTCACCAACTGCAACGACTGGATCCGCCTCGGCGCATTCGAGTTCGCTTTCAACCAGTTAGTTATAGTGGCTCAGAAAGTGGCGGCCTCGCGAAGGTTGTGAACGCGGACGCTTTGTCTCAGACTCCCGGCGTTTTAATCTGCAAGACCCCGAATTTTATGGAGAACATTAAAGCTTTGAACGGCATGCGAGCCGCTGGAGCGAGCGAGAATGATGGAGATAGTGTGCCGTACATATGGAGATTTACAGTGGCTATAGCGCTGGGCGGCGACTTTTTCCAGGGTGACCTGCCATTTTCCTTTTACCTGCCACCTGTGATACGATCGCTTACACAGCACCATGGACCGTCGACCGGGGACACATGTGTCAAGCTTCGGATGAAGCACAAAGTTCCACCACGACTCAAGCTGCTTATACGCTTTTCTACGCTTGATTTCACCAAAAGCATGACGACAGAAGGACATGTTGTAGAACCGAATACGACTACGATCCAAGACTCAAAGATCGAATCGATCGCACCTCAACAAATTGCCGATGATCCTGAATACTTAATCTCCTGTACGACTCCGCCGTGGACTGAGAATTTAGCCGGTACCACACGTGAAGTGCCGCATTTGACGATCCTGCAGGTCTCATACGATGCTGGAGTGACGTTCTATCCTGTTATTGATCCACCACCGACAGTTACGCAGTCCAACCCTCTGGCCAAGGATCTCTCGTACTTGTGTTTTCTGTTTTATCCCCCTCCAATTGTGCGCTCTGCAACACCTTTATCAGCAGATATACTCGGCGGGAGCCACGTTCGTCTTCAAGGAGAGCACCTGGTGGACCACGGAGCTCAAATGTCCGTGATCTTTGAGTCGTCTACGATGAGTCGAAAGGTTTCAGCTTTCGTTGAGAAAGGAGAGCTGCGATGCTGTGCGCCGCCGTTCAATGTTGGACGTGCACGAGTGTTTGTATCTTTCAATGATGAGCAGTACACACTGTGTGATCTTCACGATCCGGAGACGAATGCACCAGTGGAATTTATCTTCTACAGCTCACCGACTGTGACTCGTATAAGTCCTCTTTGTGCTTGTGTGCGTCAGTCAAGTGAATTGAAGATTTACGGTACAAACCTCATCGAGACGGACCGCATTAAAGTGCGTGTCAGCTTTCCAGCGAGCGCTGGTCGTCGTCTTGTGTTCAAGGACGTTCCGGGTACTGCTCATAATGGCGTAATTACCGCTACTACGCCCGTATTCCCGGACGAGTATGCTAATCAGAATGCGCTCGTAGACGTCGCGTTGAACGGAGCGAATTTATCAGGGACATCCGTTCCTCTCCGGTATTTTTCAAAGTACGGAATCACACGCGTGGATCCACCACTTGGTGCTTTTGAAGTTCCTGTAACCTTAACGGTATTCCTGGCACCAGTCATTGTTACGGACAAAATACTGGTGCGTTTACGTCTTGGATTTATCAAGACGACAGCAGAACATGAACCATCCAAGCAGGAATTAGAGATCATGTACGGTCCAGTTGAAGCGAGTACCTGGACTGCATCTAGCGTGGAGGTCTTGATTCCAGCTTTAAGTTCTCTAGTGGAGAGCTTGCCGGTGCTGACGACAGTACACGTGGAAGTATCATTTGATGACGTGCATTTCCATGGCGTTGGAGACCTTCGAGACCATTACCGTGTGTACAATATCCCTCAGTTAACATCCGCAACTCCACTGTTCGGACTCTCCGATCGCGAGACGAGAATTATGGCGCATGGTGTACACATGAGACCGGATGGTGTCGTCAAGCTGACGTTGTTTCTGGAATCGACTAGCGCTGACAAGAAAAGTAAAGACAGACGCGTGGCAACTAGAGCAGCCCTTGTACCAGTTACTACCGTCACTGCAGATGTAAATGTCAAGCGACAGCGGTTGAGCTTTACGTGTCCATCGTTATCCCAGCTTCGTGCAAGTACAGATCGACAAAGTGCCCCTTTCATCGCCCCCTCGCCTGGAATTATAAATGGAGTACCAGATCGTCGTATTCAAGGGGATTCAGTTGGTGGAATGCTGCTGCCTGAGCGAGTTATCATGCAGATAAGCGTCATTGACGGTCAACCGATCTCGCTCCCTTTTGTGTTCCGATACTATCGAGCCCCCACACTCGTATCGATGAACCCACGCGTCGGATATGTCTGCAGTGGGTCCATAATCTCGTTTGAGTTCGCAGAGCGTATCGCCACCCCCACTGTAGACTTTCGATTCGGCGATAGTCTGCCTACAAGTGGACGGATTCGAGACGAACGGTTTGTGGAGTGTTTCTCACCAGAGCTTTCAGCGGGGACTCATAGTATCAGCATCTCATTTAACGAGCAACACTATGAACTTGCTGTCTTGATGGAGCATAAAGTGGAGTCCCAGGAGGATAATCAGCTCTCAGTCGCTACATTCCACGCGTTTCCTCTGCCAGTGTTCGTTCTTCCACCTGCGGGGAGAGACCGTGTGTATGCGTTTGGTCCGACATCAGGCGGAACTGTGGTCGTTATTAAAGGTAAGGGATTCGTTCCCGACACGAAGATTTACGTTCGATTCGCGTCACAATTCAAGGATGCGTTCGACGGTCAGTCTGAGATTATTGTGGGAGCTAAAGTGGTGGATGGTGAGACTATCCGGTGTATTTCACCGCCGTCCATGCGTCTAGGCCGCGCTGTTCTTCACGTGTCGTACAATTTACAGCAGTTCAGTGATTCTACGTGCTACTTTGAGTACCACGCACCCACGCGATATGTTGCGAAAGGGACGCTATGTGGCCCCATTTCAGGTCAAACCCCATTGAAACTGGTTGTCGAAGACATGAAAGGACTACCGAGTCACACTCAACTACTCCAGTGTGCTGTACGTTTCGAAAGTGAAAAAAGTCACGCTTCAGTGGACGTTGACGCGCAGTTTGACCAGGAGACGTGCGTTTTGTCGTGTATCACACCTGCGTGGCCATCGAATGAGCTCGTGAGTCTCAGGGTTTCACTATCGCGTGGAGAAGGTGAACTGTTTGAAGACACACGCATCAAGTTTTTGTTCTATGACCCACCCGAGGGTGTGATTAAGATAGAACCTGCCGCCGGGCCAATTGGAGGTGGAACGGAAGTGTTGGCGTGGTGTGGGAGTATAGTGGAGACTGGGGAGATTACAGTTTCAATTCAACTCAGCAAACCTGAACCGGACCGACCAAACCTGACGACGAAACGCAGAAGTTCAACTACATTGACCCCGCCTTTATCTCGAAAGTCAAGTCTACGGGGTAAACAAATATTCCCTCCGATACTGGTGAGAGGCGAAATTGTTGGAGAGTCTGTGCGCTTTACAGCTCCTCCTGTCGAAGGTCCATGCACGGCTGTTTTAGGCATCTCATTGAACGGAATCAACTACACTTCGGCGCAGCGTCCGCTGCACTTCACGTACTACGTGGGGCCTGTACTTCGTCGGATCAATCCGGGATGGGCCGCTCTGGAAGGTACAAATGAAGCGCTTGTGATCGAAGGCGAGCACATTCGTGATTTCAGCTGTAAACTATTGGTGCGCTTCAGTCTCCAGGATGAGAAGCAGCCAGAGCAGAATGGCATCGTGGTTGGAGCGCAGTTCATCTCGACATCTGCCACTAGTGACGGAGCACTTCGGTGTGTGTTTCCAGCTGCTCCTCCGGGCTTCTACGAGCTTGAAATTAGTCTGAATGGACAGCAGTTCTCGCAGTCTCAATACGTGAGCAAAACGTTCGGTAATTTGAGTGGCACAGCTTGCACAGCCTTGCTTCCTTTTCGACACTTTTCGTCGCCATTCTGTCTCGCAACAGCTACTGGTCCTGCTGCGGGTGGATCGACTGTGGTATTATTTCTCGGTGGGAAACTGTTGAAGATACTCTCAAGAGAAACGAAGTGCCAAGTACAATTCAAGCCTATCCGAGGGACCGAGAAGATCACTCACGTACCTCTTTCAAACACGAATGGGGGCACTGGCCTCATCAAGCTCTCAAGTAATGTTGCAGATGTTATGTGTGTGGCTGGTGACATTGATCACGTCAATGCTCGAGTTACGTGTCGTGCGCCACTTCTACGTGTTGCCTGTGTATCCAATGTGGATATACTGCTACCAAGTGGTAGTGGAGCGTCCACGGCATGTCAGCTTTTCGGGTTACGCTCAAGTGAGCGCGAGAAGTACTATTCGTATGAATCCCCAAGTATCACAGAGATCGCTCCCAGTTGTGGTCCTGTATCTGGAGGTACACAACTTGTCATCGAAGGAGCAAACATCCTCGATACGGCACAGATTTTCGTACGCTTCCGCTCCAGTTCGAACGAACGAGAGTTTGTCCTCGTGCCTGCACGATACAGTCGAACGTTCCCTGGTGGTTCAGCGAGTGTGTCTCCGCTAATCATTTGCAACACTCCCCCCGTTGAGTTTGTGGATAAAACAATCTCTACTGGTATCGAAACTGCGGCTCAGAGTACTTCGCTGCTAACTCAACCTTCACCTCGCAATAGAGAAGGTGTTGCTGCCGGTAAGGCACGTACACAAACATACCAGATGCTGGCTGAGCAGAGTTTAAAGGTTCATCGAGCTTCCGTTGCGCAAGGCAATAATGACGCTGGACTGGGTATTCTACGAATTACTCGACCTAGCGTGAAGGCTACTCCACGAGGTAATTGTGAAGCTGAGAGTGGAGCGACAGTTCTGGTTGACTTTACACTGAACGCTGGAGAGCAATTCATCGCACACAGTGTCCGTTTCCACTACTACCAGGACATTGATCCACGTCAAGTCAAATGGACACCAAGACATCTACCGACTCAGAGTCTTGGCGGACGGCAAGCAACGGATTCAAGACTACTGACAGTGACATTACCGAAAGCTTTCAGACTAACTGAGTCACCAGAACGGGTATGCTTCCGCTTCGACGGTGTAGACGCCAACCTGCAGCTCTCGATGCGACGCAAGTCTTCTGTATTGCTGCACGAAACGGAGTCACTTACGGAATTGGTGATTGCGAATCCTCCAAAGCTTCAGACACAATCAACCATGCGGAGATCCATCACGTACTTCCAGAACAGTATCCTATCATCTGAGAATCTCCCAGTCAGTCCTCCGGTGTCCCCACGGAACGACAGCATTGGAGCAGCAGCACCTATACGTCGCCAGGCTATCGGTACACACGGGATGACGAGTAGACCAATTACGCCCGATGTATCATCTCCTCGTCCCGCTACTACAGGACCATCACCATGTATTGCTGGGAAAGTCATCAGTGCGAACGAGGTTACTTGTATTGTACCGGACTTTCCTACCCCAGGAACTGTCCAGGTTTTCTTCTCGCCAAACGCACAGCAGTTTGTGTGTCTTGGCGAGTTGTTGTTTCACCCGGCGATGGTCATTAAAGATGAGTATCATCACACCACATTTCGATTCTGCTCGAATGTCGGTGGGAGTCCATTCGCGTTGCAGTGCTCCCCGTCAACTGTACTGAGGTATCTAGCGCCAGAAGACGTGACGACAGCAGATAAAAGACACGCTCAAATTCAAGATCTTGGACTAAGGAAGAACAGTGTAGCGTTGGAAGAAGCTCGGTCGAGAAATTCTCAAGCATCGCGTGAGATTAAGGACGAGGCCACAAGTATTCGTGATAATGATCAGAAGGAGGAAGACTCGGACCCCGATGCCAGAACAATCGATGAAATTGACGAAAACAAGGCTGATGAGCTTGAGAACGAGGATGAAGATGATGACGCCTGTGACGTGACGCCAGAACCTGTTGAACGATGGCAGAAGCGTTCATTTCATGCTGCTCAAGTGTTTCTGATACCTGCTAACGTGAAGCTATTGAAACGAGTGACGATGACAGCGACTCGTGTGGATAATCGCTGTGAGGCTGGGAAAAGCGTTCCGGATGACGCAGGGTGCTGCATTTTTGACATGTCGAACTGGGGTGAACAAGTTCTGCTTCGTGCTGTTTTGCCTTCGTCATGTGGCTATACCTCGTACTCTTCCGTCATTGAACCATCCGTGTTTCATGAGGAGCAGAAATCATCGACAACGCACCTGGTGTTAACTCAGTTACCTGCTGCGGGGAAGGTTCATGTCGCTGTAATTGGGCCTTTTGAGGTTCAGTTCAATGTGGTGATTATCGACGGTAGTGGAAAGGACATCACGACTGCTACAACACACTTTGAGGCCGAAGAGCAGGATAATGTCAGGTGCAGCTTAACGTCAGTGGACCCAACCGTGCTGGTTGATTCAGCCTGCGACGTCTGTTACGTGTGCGTTCGGTTTGGAGCTATCGACAATGAGACCTTCAGCGCTTCTGGTCAAGATATAACAAACGTTCAAGTGCTTGTATCGGACAGCAGTAGAGTACAGCTTTGTCTCTGCGGGCCTCCTGTGAAATCCTCTATGTGGATAGTTGGTCGACTGTCACTTCAGCCATTCGATCCCGCTAGCCCGTCACGAACAATCGAAGCAGTCGACAAACTAGTTCAGGACGTTCCAGAAGACTCTACTGTCTACTCAGAGCTGAATAATCTTCTGATGAGCCTTGCTTTGGCATCCAAGCGGTCTAACACAGTAAGCTCTCAATCTTACACTGTACCAGTGATGTTTGAGTTCACAAGCGGCGACTCCTCCCGTAATATCACTGCTTCGTCCCGTGCGAGGTTGGTGCTTTCGGCTTCCGACAATTTCCAGACTTTGTTAGCGATTTCGCTCTCGCCTCAAACCACAAACGGACCAACTGTGACATTGGAATGTGCGATGCCCTCGCTGACCTTTAGTGGCATCGCAACACTTGTAGTAAGCTGCGGAGGTGTCGTGTTTTCCAACAGCGTCACGGTTCACTGTTACGATCCAAGGAGTTGGAAGGTCATCGCGCTTAGTCCTCCGTGTGGGCAGCTTCCTCTCTGTCAAGACCCTAAAGAGCCCCTTGAACCCATGACACTTCGCTTAAAAGGTGAACACTTTGTCGAGAACCGTAAGATAATGGTTCGGGTGTCGGACAAGGACCGGTATTTCACAACACCCGGTAAAGTTGATCAAGTTCACGTGCTGAGTTTACGTATCGCTGCAGTTAAGAACTTGCGAGTGTTACTACAGCCACTTGGTATTGTACCCCACGCTTCGAACGCTGGACCAAGTGGAGCCACACAAAAGAAAGAAGAAAAGTATCTGAGCTCCGTCGTTAGTGGGACGACCGGTGGCTCTATCGTTGCACTCGTCTCGACGTGGTCAACTTTTACCTTCACAGTGCGGATCGAATGTGGAGACCAGAGACTATTCGCTTCATGTCGAGAGAATAGCGTCTTCGCGGCGATTTCTACAGGCTCCGTATTGAGTTGGGAAGAGGAATTTGAGCTTCGAATCGCTGCCGACCGACGCGCTCCACTGCTATTAACTGCTGAGCTTTCTGAGTCTTCTTTACCGAAGCCTCTTGAGCTCGCTCAAGCTTGGGTTCCTCTTAATGGCATTCAAGTAGGATCGTCAGATATTCGACGCTATACTGCAAGGTTTGAAGAGCATTTCAAGCGAGGATACTACGTCGGCAGCGAGTCAACTGCTGGAGCGGCAACTGAAGTGGAACTGCTGCTTCAGCTATCGCCATTGATGCTCCATCCGGACTATATCGTCTCCCAAATCCCGTATGCCTTGCTACGACAATTATCACCACAACCTCTTGACGTTCAAGTCTCATCAGGCGATGGATTTTACTCCACTCCTCATTCTTTCGTGGTGTACAAACCGCCAACGGTGACGCTAACTACTCCAAGCGTGTTGCCGCGATCGGCAGGTGGCGATGTGATCGTTACTGGTACTGGGTTCGTCAATAGCGGGCGGGTGTGTGTGCGTTTGTTCGCGTTCAAGAAGAACCGCTTCAATAACAACAGCGAAGAACAGCGTGCTCTTGCAACAATTAACCGAGTCCAGCGATTCCAGCGAACGGAAAGTACGAACGACGGCTTCTTCCCGTATTTCTCGCGAGATGTGGAAGGCGTTTTCGTTTCTACTTCGAGTCTCAAGTTCAGAATGCCGTCATACATGACGAGTTACAACGTTTATTACTCCGTATCTTTTGACGGTCGATCGTTTACTGAGGCCTCGCACGTGTCAAACGTGCTGTTGTTTAGTATCAACGCTGTATCCCCTAAAGGGGGACCGATATCGGGCAATACGTATGCTACACTGCACGGCACGAATATTGACGCTTGCCTCTCTTCACGGTCTGGATTGACTCCTCTTGTACGGGTTACGTGGAAGCGCGGAGCTCGAGATCTCGAGCATGTGACAGTACCGGGAGAGTTTTATCCCCACGAAGATGCAGTCTACTTCTACTCTCCACAGAGTAAATTTGGGCTCTACAGTGTCGCTGTTAACGTTGAATTAGCGCTGATAAGCTCGGGCACTGGAGCGGACACGGTGCCGCGCTTTGGAAGAGACGAAGTCTCGTTTGTCATGTACAAGACTCCGACAATCAAGTCGGTCGCTCCGCTCACAGCTTTAGTGTCTGGGGTTTCAACCACGGAGATTATTGTCCAGGGTTTCGAAGAGAAAGCGGTCAGTAACATGCGGTTGGCGCCTAAATTACGCTTCAAAAGGAGAGGACAAATGCAAGTATCGGACGCTCAACTGGTGTCCGAGTCGCGCTTTGATTGCATCGTCCCGCGCTTCAACGTGCCAAACGCGGTAGCTACTGAGCTCCCGCTGTCCGGTATTCCCCCCGTTCACAGAGTTCGAGCTGGAGGCGCATTGAGTCCAAGACGCAACACTAGTCAACCTAAACTATGGACACGTACAGCTGGAGTTTTTGTCGCTTTGCTAGGTGCGCGTAATTTACGAGCATCGAAGAAGAATGCATGCAACCCATTCGCGGTGGTATATGTGGGTAAATTGCAGCTCAAGAGCACGCGCAAGGATGGAGTCTTCTCACCAGTGTGGAATGAATTATTCGACTTCGAGTGGCCATCCGACAGCGACTCCAACTTGGCATCAGTTCGTGTGGTGTTTGAGAATCAATTGACTGCTGACCAGAGTGAAAGTCTGGGGCATGTTGAGCTCAAATTTCCCGTAAAAGACAAGCTAACCCAAGCTTTCGCGCTCCGTGCGTGGCTCCCACTGCGCCGTATCCGTGGCAAATATTATCGCAAAGAGAATGAAGAAACAGCGGTAAAAAACCTGAAAACCTCAAAGCAAGCTCCAGCTCCATCCATTTCAACGTCAAACTTGGGAGAAGTGGAGCTAGCGATCGCATTCGTCCCTCCCGTAACCCAGGCTAAGAAGCACAAGAAGGCGCTGCGATCATCGATTATTTCTGTCATTACAACCCAGCCCCAGTCTAGGAAGCCATCCCAAGCTAAAGGCGGGTTGAGTACGTATTCGTTGAAGAAGGAGAAGCTGCTTCGTGCTTTCCGTCAACGTGGGGCTCCGGTATCGTTGGTTCCTACAGAGCTAGCAGTTGAGCTAGCTCTCAACGGTCAAGACTTCTGGTCGGTGGCTCCATCCACATGTTACTCCATATTAACTCCGATCGTGGTTGATGTCGAGCCAAAGTTCATCTCCATCGCTGGTGGCTCGACCTTGTATGTCTCGGGGAATAATTTTGTTAACACTGGTTGTTTACGCGTGGCATTTGCAGTGGTGACCAAGGACGATACCACTCAGACTCTTGGTAGTGAACGTACAATTGTCGTGGAGGCCAAGTACCGGTCAAGTACAAGTATTGTATGTATGACACCACCACTGAAATTGGCTACTGAAGCCTCTTACGTGAACGTCTACATCTCTCTCAATGGATCCGATTTCGACGGTATCGCACTGCCTAAGCAGCTGATAAAATTGAGTGAGCCTGCAGCTGAGAGGCCTCTAACAGGCGTAAATGTTGACGAACGCATCGAAGAAAGTGATGAAACGGAAGAACCTCCACGAAAGAGCCCGCGGAAGAATACAGAGAATGACAGTGCGATCACTCTCGTTAGTGAACAGTATGTGGTTGACTGCAAGAGGATTATATCACTGGCCCTTGATGGTAATGGATCGGGAGGGTTTTTGTCAACACGGCTAGCGACTTCTAGGAACGAAAATTTCTTGCTGGTGCCTCAAGTTCGAGTCTATTTAACGCCTAAAGTCACGCGAGTGCGGCCGACAGACGGGATTTACACGTCACATCTAACCATTGATGGCACAAATTTCACGAATACAGGCATCGCCACAGGTAAGGTATTGATTGAATGTTTAACCTTTAGTAACATTCACTTACACGGCTGTTTTTTTAGCACGCTTTACGTCCCAGTTTGCCGATGCAGAAGTCCGTACAGCGAAGCTTGTTGTGGTATCCAGTACACGGATGGAATGCTGCGTTCCTGATTTTCCTAGAGGGGTAATGGTAAGAATATCGGTGGCGATGAACGGTGTCGAGTATGTCCAGTGTCCGGGAGAACTACGCGTGTTTCAGTCCCCGCGACTGACAGAACTGTACCCAAATTGGGTCTCAGCTAATACGACGGTGGAGTTAGAGCTGCGTGGCATCAATCTAACCGCTGCCATCGCCTCAATGGACAATAATCGAGATCAGGAAGATACTGCTAGTATTCAAGTATCGTTCAGCAATACTCGCGAGAAGGAGGTCGTTCGTGGTAAATATGAAGATGGTAAGGTACGTTGCTCTATTCCTCGAGAGATATGGCGGGCGTCCAGTCGAGACAAGAGGTCTCATTCCCCTACGGCAAAAACCTCCCCCATTCTTGTCGATATTTGGCTGGGTGGGAAGGTACGCTACACATTGATTTATGTACACTTTAAACGAGTTATGCTGATAGTTGCTGTTACACTGTAACAGTTCACAGGTTCACCGCTACCGCTTCACGTCTATCGGGATATTCCCACCGTTCATCTTGTATCACCGATGGATGGACCAGTCTATGGTGGCTTCGCGATTGTTGTTGAAGGCCGTGGATTCATCGACACAGGGAAAATCGTTGTGCGCTTTCAACTGTACAGTGATCAACGCGAATCAACGCCTCGAATCGAAGATGAAAGTTCCAGAGTATCTCAGAGCCAACGAGTGTCACCAACCAAGAGCGTTAATACTCTCGAAAAACGTCAAGGAAAAGAGGGAGCTGCAAACGGGAAGACGAATGTGGAGGCTTCATCGGAATCAGCATCGTTCGTGGACGTGGCCGCAAAATTCGTGTCTGCTGAGCGAGTACTTTGTCCAGCTCCTGCATTCCCTCAGGAAGGAGTGTACACGGTATTGGTGGCTCTGAACTGCGTCGAGTTCAGTCGAGTTAGCGACGGCTCATGGTTTCTAGCGTGGCAGAATTGGCAGAAGCGGAAACGATTGCTATCCCACGCACTCTTCTCTCGAGCTTCTGCAGCGAACGATGCAGCCTCTGCTGCTGCAATCGCCGGAGCAGCGGCTGCTTCTGCATCTTTGGACGAAGACGACATCGAAAAGCTAAAGCGAAAGTCAAGCTTCATGCTACCGAAGATCCGAAGTGCGTTGGCAGCAACTCCCGAGGATTCCTCCACTTTCAGAGCCAAAAACAACGAGCTGGTCTCTGATAACAGTCTCGCATCCGACGATACAGAAGAAATGTTGATGAAGGACCCAAAACTGCTTCAATGGTGCCCTACGTCTTGGATGGAGACGCGAGTCAGCGGTCGGCCGTTATTGTCGCTACTTGAGTATCTTTGTGGTATTCGTGAGACTCAACAGTTCATTTGTCGACGCTTACGTGTCGCCTTCCGGCTTAAAAGTTCTCAATCTCGCGGCGGTGACTCAACAGAGGTTCCTGCACTCCGCTTTAACCTTTTTGTGGAAGCTATACGTATGATATTCCTCAATGCTCTCATGCGTGAGCTTGAAGAACTGTGGCATGCTGCTGAGCATCGACCTGATGGAACTATGACGATTAAGCAGTTGCTAAGACGATTGCTACGCAACGCGGCGTCAGATCAGCGTAGCATGAGCCCGGAGCCAGGTCCAACGCATTACGATCCACGATACAGCATCGTGTCCTCGCGGGAGACCGCAGCGATTATTTTACCCCCCGTCGCGCAACCAAAGAACATATCGGACCCTCCGTCTACGCTCTTTATGAACTACGATGCTGCCGTTCAAGCCGTGAAGCCTCGAGCTCCTCGCCCTGTATTTCGCAAGCGAAAGTTTAACACATCGTGGTGTAATCCAGTCGTTGAAGGTGCGAAGGAACCGACACCAAGCCCACGACCACCCTCACAGGTTAACAAAACACGGCCGAGTCCACGCACGCGAGTTAGCGAGGACATGGTAACTGAAGTTAGCACTACACTCACTGCAATTGGCGGTGCTACTGGAACTGACGAAGATAAAGCTGCTGAGTCACAAGCAGGTAACCAGGTTGATGTACATCAGCAGGAAGCTACGGCTAAGGAAGACGCAGTTCGAACTCCGGATCAAGTGACGATCGCTTCCAGCAAACCCGCACGAAGTCTACCTCCTTCAACTCCTGCTACTAACACAATGATGCCTCGCCAAGCCACTCTAAGTGGACCGAATCCTTTCTACAACGACATTGCACCGTTATACGCCAAGTTCCTCAACTCAACGGAAGTCAAGAGGTTTTTGAAGCAGTAGAAAGTGAGCTTTTACTTGGGTTTAGCTGTTGTTTGCTGGTGTGGTCCGAGTATAAGGATCCCACGGCAAATATTTAGGAGAGACGAATGGATACTTATCACCGAGACCGGAGCAGAAATCCACGAAGGACCGTACTTGGATAGCGCCGATGTTGTCGACGTCGAAGTACATGAAGATGTGAATCACTTCCTTGTTAGTCAGAATGGCTGGTAACCCACGAACGACGCTGTTGGCAGGGAGAGCGGCTCCTGTTGGCAGGGAGAGCGGCTCCTGTTGCCGTAAATGCCGCGCGGAAGTCATGGATCTCGATGTACTCGCGCTCGTCTTCCTGTTGCGGCTGATCGGTTCTTGCCGACTTCGCTGGCCCGAACCTTAAAGTATCGAGGAGACGCTGAGCAGTGTCGGGGTCTCCCTTCAGCACGTTAAGTAGCCTCTTCAATGCTGAACGCTGATGCACACTAGCTCCATTCCGTTCATCGTGCAATGAACCAGGCTCCGTGGCTTCCCCGTGACGCTTTGACGGGTCGTTGAGCTCGTTCGTGAATGTGCTGGACCGACCAAAGGCGTTGCTCCCGTCCGAGACAGTCGTGGCAAAGTTTAATCCGACCCCCGTAGTCACTGCGTACGAGTATCTGGTGACAGTTGTGTCCTGCAGTAGATCCAGTTTCATTTGGTCGATGCTGTCAGTCTGCGCCTTCGTCAAGTGCTGAACGTTTGGGTCCACCTGACGAGCCAGAGAACCATTGCGTCCTCGAGGAATGCGGTCCTTAACCAGCGCCGAAGTGTCCGTCGGTAAGTATGAGCTTTTAGCTATGGTGGTGCGTGCTGCTTCGTGGCATTCTTGTTGTTGTTCGTCTCGCTCCCGTGCACGCTGCTCACTGTGAAGACGCTGGGCAGTCTCAGCTAAATACTGGTCACGTAGAGAGCTTCGAGGTCCAGGTCCTGGTTTCTCCACTGCATAGTCGGCATACCGGTGGCTCGCTTGGAGTGTGGTTTCGAACCGAGGAGGTGTGAACTCACTAGCGTGGCTGTTGCAAGTCAGCTTGGCAGGCGTGTCATGCAGGAGAACACGTTCGTATGTCGGCTCAATCCGCGACTCCTTTCGATCTGGACATCCACAAGCAATAGATTAGATACTACACCAGTGACCGAAAGCGAAAATATGTAAGTCCAAACCTGGAGCGAAATATGGTGCCGGCACTTTTCGACGAGCATGGCCGGTCTTGTCACGGAGAGCGTCTTCCTCGACCCAATTGCCCACTAAAGCAGCCTTGTTGTTCTTCACGTTGTACGTCGTTATCAAGGACATGGCTGTGGCGATCAACTTAGAGTAGACTGCTCTGAAGTACAGGGTTCGCTACTGCCGTTCAGCCTCGTCGACCAATATGGATTGTGATTGTAACGACAGTGAGCACCACCACGTGGAAGCTATAAAAGTACTTGCAAGCTAATAAAAAAAAAGGTATCGTCGCTAAAAGTACTTCAAAGTACGTTGGAGAAACACAAGGTTCTCTAAAATTGGTTGTCAAATCTGCTCGTCATTCTCTTTGCAGCTTGTTAGTGACTTTCCCTTTGAACTCCGCAATGTCCACAGCTAACATGATTAGAAAGCTGCGGCTCTCGGATCCCCACGCGGAGCTTCCCATCAAGAATCACAAGTATGTGAAAAACTGCACCGAACTATACATGGCCAACAAGCGCATCCACAAAATCGCCAACTTCGATGCTTTCGTCAACCTCGAGGTGCTTTGGATCAATGACAATCAGGTTTGTCATATCACCTGGAGTATTATCACCACACAATTCATTCACGTCCTGCCAGATTCAGGAACTTAACGGGCTGGATGGCTGCTTCCGTCTCAAACAGCTATACGCTCATAAAAACTGCATCCGGTACGGCAGAATCATATCTTGTAGCTCTGTGCCGTAGCGCCTAATCCTGGCTCATTGTAGTTCTCTTGAGGGTTCATCACTGCCTCACTTCAAATTTCTGCTGGAACTCCGGTTGTATGATAACAAACTCAAGGACTTGCAAGGCGCACTGAGAGTGTTGAGTCGATTGTCCCACTTGCGAGACCTCGATCTGTTCGGTAACCCAGTCGTGGAAGAAGAGAACTACCGCTTGCAAGTGATTCGAGCCATCCCATCGTTAGACGTACTGGATCGACATGTCATCACGGATGAGGAACGAGCAAAAGCTGCAAGGTAACCAAGAAATTTCAGTCACGCAACATATATCGATGGACTCACATCATTGTAAATAGGTTGCAAGTTCACTTTGAAGACGGAGAAGTCCGTGGCAGTTCTTCCAAAAAGCATGGTGTCAAGAAGAGCAAGAAACGATCTTCCACTGTATCTGGAGCACCACCACAGGCTTTGTCAGGGACCGTCAAGATGCTTTTCAAGGAGGTAGCAGCTATCAAGAGAGAACAACAGGTTCGTGGCAACATTAACGAACAATTCCACGTTTGTCTGATGGTGGTTATGCGGTAACAGAGGGAAGCTCGAGAGGCAGCCAAGCGAGAGCTGCAAGAACTTGGATCAAATCAGCAAGCATTATCCACGACAACAAGATCCAGATGGAGCGCCAACAATAATAACGCCGACGAGATCCCAGGTTTGGGTGACTGGGAGGTCACAGCACTGAAGAAACACTTCCGATCTCTTGAAGAAATGAAAAACGGGTGCGTAACGCATGAGGTTGCTGAGGTATCGGCACTAACGTCGACCGACACATGCAGTGGACTTGGTCAGGAAAATCTTGCGGGTGTCTTTCGATATCTTCGTTCGCGTGGCTACACAGTGTTGTACAACGGGTTTCGGTTTGAAGGACAGGGGGGCGATTTACAGTACTTGGAGAACATTTTACCAGCACCTGGCAAGATCCAGTGGAAGCCGTTTGTTCAGGTGACATGCTTGATGCCCTGCGCACTTCGTAATCTCTTGACCGTGAACATAGATCTGATCCCAAATGTGATGCCTTGTTTAGCTCTTTGAGTCGAATCAGCTGCGTTGTGAATTGTTGAGTCCTCAAGAATTGCGACATCAAGCCGCCGCCTGCTTCGACAAATGTGCAGTCATGCAAGTAAGTCACTTGGTCTCTCTGCTCCAGCGAAATCCGTTCCATCTAATCATTCTTCTGCTGTCATCACAGCGACGGCTACAAGCTCTTAATACCAATGATGCCAAATCTGCAGTATGTTTAGCGCAGCGGCTGTCTCTCTATGCATCACTATGCTAACTTGAGCCACTTTTCAATTTTGTCCAGCAACTTGTGAAGGAGAGCCTCGAGCTATCACAACAAGGTTATCATCTCCAAGCTTTGGCTGATAGTGACCACACGTCAAGCAGATCCAAATTGTCTCGAATGCCCAGCTCAGCTGTTATCAACGACAACTGGGAAGCCACTCCAATGTCGACACCACACACACGTTTCTACATGACGACGTTCACTCGCGAGAAATTTTCGGCTCTTCCATCGGTATCTGCATCAAGAGACTGTAGCTTCAAGTTCAGTGAGTTAAGAAACGAAAGCGAGCGCATCAGTGACGCGTTAGCCGGCAAGTACAAAATCCGGCACAAGGTTTGTAACGTGGCTCTGACTTGATCAGCTGAAAACACCCGCTCACACCCCTTGTTTACATGGCAGGATTTCAAGAAATACTTGGCCAAACAATCACCGCAGACGACGAAACTTGTGCGTCGCAACTATCAACTGTAAGACTACAACACATATTCATAAAAGTATCAGTACCATCCCGCTCTATTCAATAAAATCTTCCAAGTCAGCAAACGCATCTGCGCCGTCTTCTTCGTTGAGGAACGCGTCGATGATAGGGTGGCGACTTCGAAGGCGCTTGCGCCGCTTCTTCACAATAGGAACAACACCCAGTAGACGCTGTCGAGCCTTTGCCTTTCCACGGCGAAGACTCTCTTGGTCTGTAGGGGCAATCCTCTGTTTAACTAGCGTCGCTAACGCCTTTAAGCGCCCCCTGGTCTCATCCATCAGCGTGGCCTGTAGCGAATTCAAAAGCGCGAACATTCTTGAGTTGGCTGTAAGGCAAGAATATTTGATAACGGATGTACTTACGTCCTTCAGCCACGATTGCACGGTGCCCGGAACTTGCAGGAAAAAAATATCCATCTTGAGTAACGTTGCAGATACCTTTGTCCAAACACGCGCATTAGTTGATGAACTGAAAATCAAGTTCGCCTCATTTTCAAAACAATAGTGCAACGTACCTTCGCTTTCGTTCCGGGGTCTTGGCTTGCATCCTTAATCCCTTCAACCCACACTCGACTTGTCAATGCCGACGTTACCGAAGCTTCATAGATCCAGATTATGGTGTCGTTCACTAGGCCGAGTTCCGGCTTGTCCCCCTTCCGCAACACTCCACTAGCTTTACCAATGCGCAAGCCTAATTCGATCATATGAAGTATCTTCAGCAGCACTTTTCGGGTCCCCCACGCAAAGCCTTGATCGTCGCCAATCGCCTTGTTGACTAATTCATGAATCCGAATGTAACCCGAAATTTCCTGCTGATGGGGAAACGAGCTGGGCGCACTGCTGCCGGTTTTAGTGGTGATGGCACTGAGCAGGGCGGCGTGAGATTGCTCGAGAACAGCTAAGACAGCTAAAATGGCGATGGTTTGGCTTGCATGAGACTGAATGTGTGGAATACGTTCACTGCTGAGTGAAGCTTGATTGGTTGTAGCGGTAATAGATGTGCTGGAGTCGTCAGATCGAACGGGATCGGAAGCGTAACTGGCATCGGAATCCGAATCAGAGTCCACTTTTAATCCGTAAGAAGACCTGGCGTCAAAGTCTTGTCGTAAACGCTTCCGGCGAGCTGGAGTATCATTCTTTTGTCTCTTTTTCTTGAGATCGTGCCAGCGTTTTCTGTTCTTCTTGCTCGAGTGACTTGATGCGGTCTCATCTTCTGTTGACTTGATTCCACACGCATGCATAATTCCTTCAATCTTCCTCTCCAGCGTCACAAACGTTCGGATGTGAAGTGCGAGGTGAGTTGGGAGACAAATACTCAACAGAAGTCGAAGAAGTCGTGGATTGTACACAACATTGTCGCACAAGACATCGTACGCAAGCGAAGAGAGCGCATAAGAGTCTGAGCAGTCCTCGTTCCCATCCGCTATCTCCGCAGCAATGTCCCGAAACCGCTTGCTAAGCGATGCGCACGACACGCTCAGCTTTGTAAGGCCATCCAGCTGTACGCACTCCTTGACGTCACTCAAAAAGTAGCAGGACAAACGGCCAAAATTATTGTTGCCGCTGTTTCCTTGACCGTCAGGCCACTGGTTTTGTCCACTCCGCGATAAACTATGCAACACTTCACCAAGTTGTTCATGCACCGAATGAAGATTTGAGGCCTTAATCATCATATCCAGGATCCGTTCAATTGCAGCACAAACATGCTCCAGCATCTCTTCTCCTCCTTTTGTGTCGAGCAGAACAACTGCTTTAGCATTTTTGCCAGGTGCTACGAGATGTCGCGCCGATGCTGGAAATTTGGCGGAAATGGAATCTGCGTACAGCGAGAATTGGAAACTATAGCTCGACTCCTCCTTCCCACCATTTTTATCCTTGGAGAGACTGTCGATCCCGTCGGTATCTGGCACGTCAGACACTGATACAACACGATCACGAACACTGAGATAGACACACAGTAAAACCTCTAGAATACGCCCAGCTTCGCTTAGACCGTCTTCTTCGATATCACGAGGATAAAACGCCCCTAACACGTCTTCATCGCCGGGGGTTCTGCAACACGAGTCCAGAGTGAACAGAGCAGCGTCAAACGACATCCCACTTAGTCCTCCTTGCAGCAAAGAGTCTGATGCTGGAGTATCCTGAAGGATATTCTTAAGAGCTGTCAAAAATTGTAGTTTCTCGTGCTGTAGAACTCTTTGAAGCCCGTACGACGCAGCCTTGACGTACTCCTTCGAGAGACTTGTGCCCATCTCATTTGCATAATGCGAGGCCAGTTTCTGTACCACCCGATGCAAACTGAACTCCACTTCCATTAAAGACCACACCGAAATCTCGCAATCATCACCACGAAACGCCAATACGTCCTGAATGCCGGAGACTTGTCGCTTCCACATCAGCATCTCAATCGAAATATTGCAAATGCCACAACCAATGTAACTACGAGCAACAAGTTTCCACCACGCGCTCTTCTCGCAAGTTCTACCATGTGCTGATTGATTCAACAGGTTGTCAAAGTCCTGGCATATCCAGTGAAAGAAATATTTCCAATTGGAAACCAGGTCAACGAGCCACTGCTTGATATCGCTGTCATTCTCATTGAGACCCTCGATCGGCAAGCCGTCGGATGAGCGTTTCGACTGGAGTGCAGCTTTCTCAAACTGAATCAGGCATGACAATAACTTTTGGAATACTAACCCGATCGCAGCCGCGCCATCCAGGCTAGCATTCTGTTGATAAAATGCGTCCAGAGAGCTGAATCGAAAACGAGGTAAGCCTGAATCCTCCTCCTCGTCTGCGTCATCATCTTCGTCTGCGTATTCCGTGATAGCCGAAGTTGTTGGCACTACAAACTTGCCAACCTCTCGAGAGAAAAATCTGTGGAACTCCTCCCACGAGCTTTTCCGCAATAAAACTGCGGGTCCCTGTATACCGACACCACTACGCTTAAATACCTGCTCCAACCGTCCGAACAACCACGCTTGGATGTCGTGACAAGCTGCTACACTGTTTTTGAGTACAGAAACAATTTCTTCCTGTAAACAACAGCAGTCGCTCAATATCGCATGGAACTACCGTCAATCGCCAGATCAATACGTACTTCTTGTTGCTCGTTGAAAGGAAGTCGGTGGTCTAGCCACGTACACCACATATCCACAGCAAACCGTTGATGCAATCGGCTGCCAGTTGACAATAATTTCCGTAGAAACACCATCAGAAAGTTATAAAGATCTGACAAAGATAACCACGGATTGTTAGTGCTTCTCCAGTGATGGCAGTTAACAAAAGGGGTACCTTTGTACGCTATTGCCAAACGGGAAGCAATAAGGAAAAACTCCCGAGCACTGTCGAATGAGCGTTGAAACTGCATGCTGTACATATACGCAACAAACATACGATGTCAGGCTAGAATCTTACATGAACATTATATGAAACTTTTACCTCAGCCAATCTTGAATGGCATTCAGGTGCGGGAAAAGCTTCCCTGATTGCGAAATAAATAGTCGTGAAAGTGTTTGTCCAGCAACCTACGACAATAAGTTCGAACACTTGCATTAGTCGTCGTTTTGTCTTCGTCCCATGTGATACGAAGTGATTCACCCTCTCACCTTCCTTTGCGTAGGCTTTTGAGAGCGTTCAAACAGACTGCTCAGCACTTCAGCTCGGGTCTCTGGTGCCTAATTAAATCACATTCACAAGTTAGTGAAGCATATGCCGTAAGGATGGGACATAGTGAGTTACCGTCTCGAATATCGCCTCCAATAACATCAGCGCATGTGCAGACTTTGAAGTCGCAACCTTGTCGTCGCCTCTAGCCGAAGTACTTTGCTCTATCCAGAAGAAAGTAATGTCCATCAAAAGCAGAGCTTTCCACTCGCGAGAATGGATCTGTTTGCCACCGAAGTTCAACAGGAGCTCCACTTGATCTAGCACGTGCTTTTCTATAGTTTTACTCGCTGTTCGCGAACTTCCAGTACTTGAATATACTTCGAAATCACTCTGCACAATCCACCACGCGAGCTGCTCGATGTCTGTGAACACGGATGCTTCAGTTGCGACACGAGAGGATGAAGTTCGATGGTGCAAAATCGGTTTCGATGCCTGGAGCGAATGGAGCAACAGGAAAAGGTCTCGCCAGTCTGCCTTGAGGTCTAGTGCGCCACAATCTGGATCATCGAACAGACTGCTAGCATCCTGCATAACGACATCACCTTCTGACATCTGACTGGATCGAATGGATTCGCACACGAGCGACACAATGCGTGGAGATTGGTTGTAGCTCTAAACAAAAAAAAAAAAGGAGGTCAATACACCACTACTTCTTTCACGAAAGACACATACCATCTGCAAGTTGAACTCTGCCTCTTGCCGCAAATGTGCCGGTAGTTGCCGCAGTAAATACCGCGCAATACCAATCCATTTATGGTCACCCGTAACATTCGCCACCAACACACACTCTCGAATCACGGGGTTCATCGTCTCGCTCGCCATCTCAGGCGACGTCGTCACCATACGCTCCACATTCTCCTAAAAAAAAATAAACACCATTAAAAAGTCACTCCTTATCAAAAAAAAAAAATAAATCTCTCCTCCGTACCTGAAGTTGTTGCCAGCTCCCCTTCGACATCAACGCACTGTCCTCCACCAGCACGTCCAGCAAACTGGGCACCGTCTGGCAGCTCCAGGGCAGCTCCAGCAACTTGGCCAAGCTCTCACTGGTCCCAATCTCGTCCCTCAGCTCTCCACTCATCCCTAAAAAGTACGGCACAAGTCCCAGTAGCTGCGGTAGCACCTTGCCGTTACTAGGCTTGGCGTTGGTCACCGCTTCCTCTAAAAAGCTGAATACGATCTCCAGTACCACGTGAATCTCGTCCAGGAGCTTCTTCCTCTTAACTAAGTGCTGTAATTTCTTCTTCTTAAGCTCCTGTAGCTCGTCCAGGGCACTGGAGTAGCCCAGATTGATCTCTGTGAGCAGCTGCATACTCTCCAGCTCGCTGGGACTGCCTCGACGCAATACCTGGATGATCCTAGAGGCAGCACGCAGTCGCGTGGCCTCGCACTGGACTAGAAGGTGCACCAATGGCAGCCAATCATCTTGCACGAGGAACTCGCTCTTCTTCTTGCCGCATTTGGCGTCGCGCGGAGCGATGCTGTCCAAGAGGCCGTTAAGCTGAGCGAATTAAGCGGTTAAGACAAACATTTTAGCAGCGAATTGAGAGCTGATGCACACACCTCGTCGGCCTCGATGGACTGCAGGTACTGACGCACGGCGTCAGCGTCTGTAGCGCTCGCACGGAGCAGCGAGCGAGCGCTGCCTTGCTCCATGACCGAGTGCAAAGTGCATTGACTTGGCATTTGTATGCTGAAAACAACACACTTCTAATAGAAGGCGGTGTATTATTCGGCATGAAAAGGTGTTTTGGGTGGACCAAAACACAAACGCGAAAAAAAAATGAGCCAGCATTGTATTGACGACTGTACTTGTAGATCATGGCGAAAGTCCTCGCTGGTTGCTTTACTATATGGAGCCGCTGAGGAGACGATCCACGGCGGCTTGCACGTTGCCAAAGGTGGCTTGTAATGCGCGGATGTTGCGGTCCCTGTCGGAGAAGCCCATGTCGTTCAACTGCGTCAGCTGTGAAGCGTAGATTTCCTCTGGGTTGCCTGCAGGAGCGGCGGGAGTGCTTGCTGCACCGAAACCAGAACCGGGTAAACCACCAAACATCGCGAACGGATTGGCAGCAGCAGGGTTGGTAACTCCAGTGGCACCGGTAGTACCAGTACCAGCACCAGTGCCAGCGCCGAGGTTCATACCTTCCAGTCTGTACGAGCAAACAATAAACACCAATTAGTGTCATCACATAGTTTATCATCGTCAACGTGTCAAATACCCACCCTGGAATAAGTCCAGAGCCACGGAGTTGGTTCATGGCGTTCTGCATCTGCATCATAGCCTGCATGTTCTGCGGGTTCATGGCTTGGCGCAGAAACTCGGGGTTCGACATCATTTGCCGCATCTGCGGGTTGGCATTCATCATTGCTGCCATCTGAGGGTTCATGGCCTCCATCTGCGCGATAAACTGCTCCGGATTTTGCGTCACTTGGTTCAAAGCTGTCTGAAACAAGGGACTCTGCATCATCTGCGCCATCATCTCCGGATTGCCACCCAGCCCGCCCATGCCTCCCATGCCACCAAGGCCACCCATGCCAGCACCCCACGGGTTAGTAGCAGCACCGGCAGCATCAGTAGACGCAGTCCCTGTAGTAGCACTCGGTGTAGCCCACGGATTGGCGGCTGCAGGGGTCGACGAAGTCGAACTGGACTGTGACTGCGCCGTGCTACTGGTCGAGCTAGCATTACTGCTTCCTCCAGCAACGCCAGGCATTGTGAACGCTGGACCACGAGGAGCAGGGGTGCCGCTAGCAGCAGCATCCATTAGTGGCTCCTGCACGTCGTGGTACATGCGTCGTAGCGCATTAAATCCCTCGGGGTGGCTCTCAATGTTCCGCAGCGCAGTGTCTTGGTTCCGCATCATTTCACGCATCGCCGCGGGGTTGCGCATGGCCTCCATACTTTGTCTAAGCAGCCCCGGGTCGTTCATAATGTGGTTCAGCTGCGGGTTTTGCTCCATGAGTTGCTGCATTGCAGGATTGCTCTGCATGATGTTACGCATGATGTCCGGGTTGTTGAGGATGCTCTGCATCATGGGCGAGTCCATCATCTGCCGCACCATCTCGGGGTTCTCCATCATTTGCTGCTGCATCTGCTGCATGTTGGGCATGCCCCCAGCGCCCATCATGTTGCCGAACATGTTACCGTTGCTAGCAGCGCCAGCTCCGGTTCCGGCAGCTCCCGGGAATAGCGGGAAGTTGAAAGGGTTCGCCGCTGCCGCAGGGGCTGCAGCCGGGGCTGGCGTAGCAGCAGGAGCAGGAGCCGGCATTGGAGTCGTCGAAGTGGCAGCAGGCGTAGTAGTCGCTGGTCTTGCTGGTCGTGCCGAGCCCTTGACAAAGTAAATGGTATCTTCCGCCTGGATGCCTACAACATATCATGCAGCAATTAACCGTTAGATGTACGCACTTGCTATGCCTAGGGAATTGCAGCTCAAGTACCGTAGCTCTCGAGCGTCTGGTCGTCCTTAAGCACTTTGCCCTTGTAGATAAGGCGCTGCAGTGCAGCAGGTACCTCGGTGGGGGTCACTAGCGCCTCTTTGCACTGCAGGACGGAGCTGTCCAGTGCCACGTCCACCGAGAACTTCTTCCCCGCCGTCGTCTTCACGTGCAGATTCACCATTGTCTTGCCCCTCTATGTGTTTTATTATGCTACTGTAGCGTCGAGCTTCTCTTCTCCCTCTCTGGAAGTTGGCAACGATGACGTCGCCGCTTTCTCGAAGGCCTGTTTGTAAAACTGATATCTGTTTTAAGAGGTGCTTGAAGTGAACTAATCCAATTACTTCACTTTAGTGACGTTTGTTCGTGACTGGTCTAACTGCTCGAACGATGGCAAGTACACCCGAGGACGTTGTGATGGAGGCGGCACAGGCCGTCGAATCTAAGGAGGCTGTGGAAGTCGTGGAAGCTGCGGATTCTGTACAGGATGTCGAGATTGTGGAGGTCGTGCCACCGCCCGCCAAGCGCGTCAAGAGTGAAACGACTGGGCGCTCGTGTAAGTTCTGTAGCAACAAGAAAATTGTGGCTGCTGGCTGTGCCTTCCAGGCCTGCAAGAAGTGCTGTCTGGCGCGTGAGGGCGTGTGTCCCACCCACCCAAAAGGTAGGCACCTGCATAATGTGTTTCATTGCAGTATAAGACGCTATACTGACACTAGGGTGGCGCTGTTGCCATTTCAACGTCTGGTAGAGATGGAGAAACCCGACGCTGAACATGCCAAGCCCAAGAAACCTGTACTGAAGAACGAATTCCGCGAGACCAATTTCCACTGTACGGCGATCAGTTCTATATCGTAGTTACGAGAGGATTGTTTTTTTTATTTATTATTTATTGCTGGCAGACTATGGCGAAACAGTGACAATATTCTGCGTGCGAGACTTCTTCGAGAACAAGAAACTGAGTCAGGGTGTACTGAACGACCAGGAGCGCGCAGAACGCGTGAGCGGGAAGGTGTGGGGTCGTCGCAAGAAGAAAAACGCCGCCAATCCCAAGACCAAGGAGCTGATTCAGTGTGCTCTAGGCAAGAGACCCGCTCCCGAGGGCTATGGAGCTGACGCACCTGCACCGATTACAGTCGTTGACGCATAAGAAGGTGGATAACCTGCTCTTTTCATTTTTATTTGAAGTTAGTCTTTCATCCAGCAAGGCATGTCGTTTGCGTCGGTCTCGGGTGCTGCAATTTGGACGTCAGAAGTAGCTGGATTGTCAATTGCTGCTGATTTTCGGTTTTTCAGGAACATGACTTCTTCTTGAAGCTGCTTGGTGCGGAACTGGAAGTCACGACAGTACCTTCGAGCACTCTCCAACTCAGTAACGGCGTCTTCCAGTTTCTTCTCCTGAACAAAGTTGACGCTTTCGAGAGCAGCAATTCGAGCTTGTAGATGTTTGGTCTGCGAGCTCATTTGGCCCCTGCGTGCTTTCAATTCACTGTTCTCTTTTGTTAGTGCTGCGAGTTGCTCACGTAACTGGTTCTCGACCTGGCATAGCTCACTCCTCTTTTTCTCCATGTCAGCCGTTCGTGAATTAGCACCTTTCAGGGTCTTCAAAGCACACGATCAGTGAGCGTACGTTTGCTATAACCAAGACGATGAGCTTACCTTTATCAACGCTCGATGCTTCTCTTCCAAAGCAAGCTTTTCCTCCTCGAGCTTCTTCCACATTGCTGCGACATCCTTACGCTTCTGTTCCTCGTGTACTAAAACCTGCAGGAAAAGCATGATTGAGATACTAAAATGAACCTCATCAGCACGCAAAGCTCGCACCTCTCGGAGCTGCTGACAACTTTCTACCGAGTGTTCCAGCCCGTCTTCGAGTTGAGCACACCTCGACTCGAGCTCCTCTACTAAGGTGCTTTGTGTTTGCTGGTCCTGGAGAATCGTCTGCAGTTTATTTTCTAGAGCGAAGCGATCGTTGACACTTTGTTCTCGTTCTCGTCGTAGCTCGTCTACAATTTGTTGATGTGCCTTATTATCAAGTCTGACTTGTGCTTGGGCCTTCTCGCGCAGTCTCCGCTGCTCAAGTGCAGCAGTATGCTGCGCGTCACTATCAACTTGAAGCTAAAATATGAACGTTAGTAAAAGCTCAGTCTGATGCTTCTGCAGCTTCGGTGGTACCTGTTCGCACTGAATCTGTAGTAGCTGCACTTGTCGCTGCAGCTCCTGGATTGTCGACGTCAATTCACTAACAACGCTTGTATGCTCTTCGTGTTGTTGTTGTAGTTGACGATCATGCACTGCACACTGCTGATCTACTACGTTCTGCTTACACCGCAGCATTTCCACCTCCTTTTCCTTGTTTGCAAGCTTGACCATGAGCATTTCAACGAGTTCCTCTTGAACTCGCCGCTCTTCCTCGTGTACGAAAGGACTCGATGATTGATTATCCCACGTCGATGTGCTTCGAACGTCCTGCTCAACACAAAACACGTCAACACAGACTGCCAAACGCTGAAATAAGAAGTAGACGTACAGATACAACACGACCCACACGAAGGCTACTGCCACGCTTCATTGTAGGCAGCTTCTGAGGTTTCGTGGGTACGTGTCTCTCATGATTTCCATTGCTAGTAGAAAGCTTCGAACGAGGGGTTTTCCATGCCATGATAGAAAGATCCAACCAAAAGTGAACGACGAGCTCTCGAGGTCTGGACGAAAATAATTAGCGCGTTTCATCAGTTTTTGTGCCAAGTTCGACAAGTACAGTGTACTGCAGGAGCTTCGTCTTCGATCGCAATGTCCAAGACGAATGCCCGGGCGCAGAGCGAGCAGCTTTTCAATCTACAAGTACAAGGGGACAAGTATGCTCGGTTACTGGTAGAGCAGAAGCACCGACTGCGTCAGCTCGATGACCACTGGAAGAAAGTTCATGAAGAGCTCAAAGAGTTGCGGTTAAAGCGTGGGGAGAGTGATCAACGCGGTGGAGGAGCTAATGCCGTTCGTACTCGAATTGCTGACGAGCAGCGAGAGCTCATGAAGCTCGAGAACCGCCTCTCAGCGTGCAAAACCCGCGAGAGCAAGATGATCGCGTACAATGCAGAGCTGCGCAGTCGAGTGGACGAGCTGCGAGCCAACCGAGTCTTGAGTCAGACCGTGTTCGAGAAGAACCAACGTCGTCTACGTGACATCCAGAAGCAAATGCAAGAGACTTTCCGTCAGTCGACTCAGATTGTAGCTGAGCGTGACCGGGTAAGTAGCTAAGCTAGAACAGCTCTTGACACTTGCTCAATTGTCATCTCGTGGCTGCAGATTCTGTCTCAAGCGAATTCGCTGTCCGGTCAAAATATTGACGAGCAGGAGGCTTTCGACCAAGTCTATCAGAGCCTCGCATCGATCATCAAGCGCGAGAAAGAGAGTGCTGAAGCATACCGGAAGCAGATTCTCGAGCAGGATCCCATGGATCTTGCAGACGACTTTGTTCGTGGCAACATGAAGCTTGAGGATGAACTACAGCTCAAGAAAACTCTGCAGAAACTCGACATGACGGTAAATATTGTCTCTTTTGTGAGGGAATGGGCTCATGTCTGACGCTGTTGTGGTTGTAGATGCTGGAAGATAAGCAAAACATCGCATCCATTAACGAGAAGTTGCAAGAGTTTGAGACGACATTTGCAGCACTGCAGCAGGAGATGGGAGTGGACGACTATCATGAGCTCGTTGAGGTGTACTCCAGGAAGGAAGAGGAAAATTTTGCACTCTTCCGCTACGTTCAGAGCACCAACAACGAAGTGGAGCAGCTCGAAGATGAGAAACAAGCACTGGAACGGGAGATACAGAAGTGCGTAGTCAAATATTTAAGGCATGTCGATGAATTCATTGATGTGCCATTGTTTGTACTTGTAGACTGAAGAGTGAGATGCAGGACGGCAGTGTTAACGCTCGAAAGCGCATGGTCGACGACCTCGTTGAGACGCGCCAAAAGTACGTCTGCAGTTATTGTAAATGTCATGAGAGAGTAGAATAGCTGACGACTACGCATGCTTTTAGTATTTTGAAGGAGAACGCGGAGATCGAGCGACTCCGAGCTGCTGCAGCTCGAGAATTCCAGCCGCTTGCACGGGTTGTCGACAGACTTTATAACGCGCTGGGCTGCAACGATGTCATGCCGGTATGTTTAATTTTGACTGCGTGATTAGTACTTGGTTCACAGCGTTCTTGTTGTGTTCGTGCAGCCCGTTGTTGGAGCGTCTTCGAGTGGAAATGGCTCTGACCCATCGAAGCGTACGAGGAAGCAGTCCGAGGACCAACTCGCGATGGTGGTAAGGCCAACGCTATACGATTCGCAATCTTCTATTCATCTCATGCTCGATTATCCTATAGGCGCGCATCAACTCCATGAACGATCTCTTGGCTGCTCAAGGTATCACAGAGGGAAATATCCTTCAGTTCCTAGCGGTCAGTTGTCTTCGATCCTGTCAAGGGCTGTCCTAGAATTATCACTGAAGCTAACCATGACTATCTCTCGAGCAGATCATTGAGCAGCGGAGCAACGATCTCATCGAGCAATTCTCTCGTCGTATACAGTACAAGAACCCAGCGGAAGCTCAACGCGCTTCACTCGGAGCGAATCTACGCCCCAGTGATCCTACGCGGTCTGTCAATGCAGTACGAGCACTTTTACCCGAGTTCTTGGACGGCCCCACCAATAACAGCGGATATGGAGGAGCTAACTCTCCCTCAGCTACGAGCCCTGTGCAGTACGCAGGCGCGGGAGGTACGACCATCGATTTCAGTATTGACAGACGGCTTTCCGTGAACACTTCAATCGCTGAGGATGAGCCGGAATCACCCAGGAGTGACGACGAAGATGGCGACCGGCCATTGACTAGGGCCGAGTTACAGAAGAAAGCGGCCAAGAGCTTCGCGAACTTGCAGGCGAGCCCGAAGCTACAGCCGATTCGTGCAAAACCCGTGGTGTCCAAGAAGAAGAAATACTGATCCGAACAAGTCGAATTGCTGGGCTCTGCAAATACACAAATATTAAACAAGCAATATTTTACCGTCAAGTAACTTCCGAAACATCCTTGTTCTGTACAACGTATCATTAATAACGATACGCTATGCGAATTCATGCTCTATAGAATACACGTGGTTGGATTTGAATACAGCAGGTTGGCTGTGAAAACCGCACCATAATCATTGTGATTATGGAGGAGGTCGTGATTTTGCTGTCCAGCGTTTACTTCGTCAAACAAGTATCGTTGAGGTTGAAGATCAAGTAATCTCTGACAAGGAGTCGATCGACTAGCGTCCATAACCCGATTCAAGCAGCAGTTCCTCGCCAACACAGGCTTTTTACTATCAACTCCACCTTCCACTTCATACGCCAATAGCAACAAAAACCGATTTCTGTAATGTCGATTGTTCCAAGGTCAATCAACATGTACGCTGCCCTGGCAATACGGGCGAGTATAAACCGTGGCAGTCCTTGACAATGAAGACGTGGAAGTCAAGATCTCGCACTGTGGTATCTGCAGCTTCGACGTCCACGCAATCGACATCGACTGGCTCCCGACGCCGTTTCCATGTGTCGCTGGTCATGAGATTGTTGGCCCATGGGACTCAGATCAGCTATGATGTAAAGTGCCTTGGCGTCGGGGACCCGCGTCGGTGTGGGCGGCAACGCGTGGGTATGCTTGAACGGGGCCCTGTGCCACTGGTAAGGATGTCTTGTGCGACCACTTGGTGTTCACCTGCGGTGGGACCTACAAGGATAAAAGCAAACCGGATTCTAGGACTACATTCATCTGAACAGCAACTTTGCCTTCAAACTGGCGGACGTTCCCTCTTCCCCATGGCTAAGAAGGTCTGGATTTGGTGTGCAACGAACCGTGCTCAGAGGTCTACCAAAAATGTACGAGGGATAATTGATATTTCTCCTATCCTTTTGTTTTTGCAACAATTCCATTGCAGTTCAAAATTTAAATTATAATTGTTCTTCGTTTTGACAAAAAAATTCTGGTCTACATCCTGGCAAAAGAATCCTGCTCATATGAACAACTTGAAGCCGGGGAGTGAGAACTGACATGTTGACGGCTGTCCTGTGTTTCGCCCAGTCGGAGCCGAGCTCACCCAGCAGTGGACGGTGACTGCCCGTTGCAGACGAGCAACTTCCACGTCTATGAAGGGTTTGCGTGAATGGACCTCGTGCATGCGAGGTTTCTCTTCACACTTGGTGGTAAACGAAAGCCTGTCGTGACCTTAATCCCAGTCTTTACCCGCAAGCGTGGCTACGCAACTAAGGCTACAGCGCCAACCAGTGAGTCATTTCTCCTTTCTCATCGAGGTCAACAGGATGAAAGTGCTTGCGGCAAGCTTGGCAGCGACGGTCTCCACAGTCCTCCTACCTACGACTCAAGGATGGTGGGACAATGGGCACATGCTGGTCGGCGAGGTTGCCAAGCAGCTTATGGACAAGGCCGATGTCACCACTATCGAGAGTATTTTGTCCAGGTGGGATGAGGACTTTCCCAACACGGGCGAGATCACCACGACTGCAGTTTGGATGGACATTGTCAAGTGCACAGCCGAGAGTTCAACTTGCTTGACTCCGGCCTCGCCTTCCATCACGAGCATGAGCGACTGGCACTACATCAACCTGCCACTCAATATCAATGGGGACAAGTGGGAGGACAAGGACACCGACCTGACGCTGTATGACGACATTATGGGAGGTGACGGCATCTCGGTGATCGAGGGCGTCGTGAAGTCGTTCAAGACGACCAAGTCCAAGTGGGCCGCTAATCTGTTCCTTCGCAACTTCATCCACATCTTCGGTGACCTCCACCAGCCGCTGCACACAGTCGCGGGGATCAGCGAAGCCTTCCCTGAAGGTGACGGCGGCGGTAACAGCGAGACTTTCACGTCGCCTTGTGCGTTCAGCAACCCACACGCAGTCTGGGATGCCGCTGGTGGCCTGTACAGCCTCAACAAGTGGAGCTTGAGTATCGAAAGCTTCAGGCCGACACTGGAGAGTAACGCTTCAGAGCTGATCGCACTGCTCTCGAGCGTCCAGGACAACATCACCTTCTCGCAGTACGAGAACGTGACGTACAATGAACTGAACGCGGCTCTGGTTACCAACCAGGTGCTGCGTGAAGTGGCTCTGGAGACGTACAATTTCGCTAACACCATCGTGTACTCTAATCTGGACCTGAATGCCACGAGCTCTGGAACTTACCCGTGCCCATCGGCTTTGTATCTGGCTATGGCTGGAGAAGTCTCGCAAAAACGAATCGCGATCGCCGGTAGTCGGCTTGCTGTTGTTTTGAAGCACTTTGCTGCCCAGCTGCGAGTGCTTGGACTAGCGGACTAAGTCGATTTAACTCCACGGTCCAGCTCGGCGAGTGCATACCTAAATACAAAATACCACGCTACATATTATCCACTACACGTGGGATAAGTCCTCTTTAGTACGGATAGCCAAGTCATTCGCAAGTGACAGAGTCCTGAAGGTGTCGGCATTGTTTCACATGACTTCTCCAGAGAATACTCCAATCAGAACCGACAGGGATTCCCAGGTTTAATTTAGTTAATGTCCACGTATTAATGCAGTTAACCTTTCGTCATCCTTCACTTGCTAACTAGTCTCTCTTTCGCTCTTTCAAAATTCCAGCGAGTATTTCCCACCGGAGGTTGGTGATATCCACATCGGATAGGTCTTCAGGTGAGTTGCCACTCACACAACTTCAAAAGAAACTGCAGACAAAGACCCCACAGTTGTTGCTATCCTTGTAAAACTTCAAGCTTTAGATATTCCCAACCAGCCAACAATCAAGATGCACCACTGTACCTGCTGCGATTGTAATGTGAAGAAGGAGCCACAATTCGGATGACACCTGTTGCAGTTGCCTCGGTAG